TGATAGAAATATATATAAAAAAAAAATTCTCAAAATATATATATATATATATATATATATATATATATATATATATATAATAGAATAATCTCTTGAGGTAAATCAGAATACAAACTAAATCTCTATTTTTTCCTACTTTATCAATCAACATTTTCTTTCTTATCAGCTTTGAATGTGCACTTCACACATTAGTTCAATGTTTGTGGAAAATATTTTTTCTTATTTATCTCAAATTACTCTACAATTTTCGAATTATGTTATTGTTATTATAATTAATTCCTATTAATAAAAAAAATAAAAGTAGAAGTTATATGAATTCCATGGAAGCTTCTTCTGATTTTCTTTACCCTGAAAATTATATCTGAAGTTAAAACTAACAGGATAATTAGTGGAAAAATGATAAAGATGAACTTAGGTTTTTATTAGTGAAATTATTTAATCGAAATGATCAAGCAGTGACCTCACTATAGGCTTCTCACCTCTTGGATCATACTCATGCCAAAACCAAAACAAAAATGACGCCAGGATGATGTAAATGTACAGTATATATACAAATAGAAGTAAAAGGGGGTAATTTAAAACAAGGGTTAGAATACAGACCAAATAATTGATATATGCCTCTCTTTCTCAAAACATATAAAGCATGGAAAATGTAGTTTGTGTTGGTTATATACTTATAAAATGTAATATATTTATTAGTTTTATTGTACAAGCATGTGATGATAGGAGATTCATCAGATGTGAATGCATGCCCAAAAGAGAATATAATGTGTAGGGTAAGAACTTTCTACTTTTTAGTATTATTGATCGGTATATCTGAGAAATAAATTAATAATCAAGCTGTCCAAGAAAAGATACATCACGCCATGTGCTTCACTTATATAAATCTGAACCTATTATATAATTTAATTAAGTGGGTCGAGCTAGTTAAGGGTCTGCAAGAATATAAATACAAGTTAAATATGTCATTCAAACATATAATTAGTGGACTGTGATTAGTCTCTTCAAGTATATATTACATATAACCCACAAAAAGGCTTAATCATTTGTGGTGAGGGGAAAGCAAATAAATAAATAATTAAAAGTGCCTAAAGTAAAGATGAAACCCTTCTATATTGGTTGTTTTTTTAGTTAAGACTTTCTCATTGTCCAAGAGAAAGGTTAGCTAGCTAGTTGGAGATAGGGAATTAGAAGTTGCCTTAGACATATATTGAGGGCACCCCATCTAGGTCTAGCTAGCTCATGTCCAACCAAAGTTGCTAGATTAGATATGAGTTTTAAACAAGATTACTGACCCCTCGTGTGAGAGTAAAGATATTGTTATATATTCCAAAGTGTTGTTTGTGAAAATAAAGTAGGGGAAGGGTATCAAGTAAAGGTGAGAATAGAAGGTTAAAGGCTATACTGAGAGCATGAGCATGGATCACTTTCACTAAGGAAGACGCGTGGGGTGTGAAAAGGACAGAATAAAGTGAAGTTTTAGACGTGAGCGTGATGGCCTAGCTTTAAGATCAGATACTGGGAAAATCCCGTGTGCTTCAAGAAATGCTCAATAGATGCCAAGGACAACTAGCCATTGCAATTTGCTACCTAATTATACATATATTACCAATAGCTTTCGTAACTCATTAGTATTTCCACATATGTATAAATAAATATCTTAGAGTTCCTTTTCCTTTGGCCTACAACAATTCACGCTAGAGGTAGAATAGAATCAGAATCAGTTTACTTGATAACATGTCCACTTGATGCTAAAAATATCACAACCTCAATTCAAAATGGAAGCCAAAGGTTAAAAGTTAAAAAGAAATATTAAAATACAAACAAAGTCTAGTGTCATTAGAACAAGAGAGTAAATATATGTTTATAAGTATACAAAATCTTCATTAATATGATATCTTTATCTTTATCCTGATGATTAAAAATAAATTCATGAAATTTTAAGTTTAAATTAGACAATACGTGTGAATTTTTGTTGTACAAAATATAATATATCTCTTAAAAAATATTTCTATACAAATCACAACAAAATATAATACTTTTTTTATAAAAAAAATATTTCTACAATCTACTACAAAATACAAAACAAACCATTGCTGATTTGGAGAGATCGAGGTTGTGTAAAATATTTAGAACAATATAATTTAAATAACTAGGTTTTTGCGATTTTCAAACTATTGCAAAAGCAATGCGTTTAGTTTTGTGACTATGATATCCCATCCCAGGTTACATTTATTGTCTTTGGTCTATTTCAATCTTCAATGTCTTGTACAGTTTTATTTTCTTTCAGAGTAGTCGATTTCCTGATCCTTATCGCAGATAATTTGGTCAAAAGCAATTTACATGGCCTTTTTTTTGGATGGCACGACACAATGAACATCCACAATTGAATTGAGAGCAATAAAAACTCTCGGCTTATCTTGGAGACTTTTTTTTTTTAATATACTGTTTTTTTTATTTATTTTCTTGGAGAAGAACATCCAGGTCAAATCCAGAAATATTATGTCCAACAAGAACATCACTATCCAACTTGTGTAATTCTAACATCAAGCGATTTAACAATGCTCTTTCACTGAAAACAAAAGTAATACATAGGTCAAGCCAAGAAGCAATCATAATTTCCAAGAAAAGTTTTAAAAAATTTAGACATCATATTTAAACTCAAAGAATAACATGCAGTCATGCAGATAAGCAAAACACTAGAACTAGCAAACCATCTTTCAATGTCTCACCTGCTTTCAGCACACAGAACATTTGAACCAGCTTTTAAGTTTTTGTCCGTAACCTCCTTATTGAATCCCATCGGAAATATATTCCCATCAAGTTTACGAATAACAGTAAAATGGGTCAGCCTTCCAGGCCTCTTCCACTCTGAAGCCAACATAGGAGTGTCAATCTAAAAAGTCAAACAGGAAAGGTTACTATTAATCATACTTCAAACTAAACTTCATCTAGAATTGTAACAAACATCTTAAAATTTGATATTAAGTATTCAAATTGCCAATGAGGGCACATATGGATACATATTCACACAATCTAAACAAGTGTTAAATACAAGCATCAATTCATTTAAAGATTTATAGAAAACAAAAAATTCCACCTAATGGCCACCGTATCAGCTAAGATGATTTATCCAAAAAAAATAGTCAAGACCAACTGTCCAATTGCATGAGCTCTAAATATTACAGATTAAGTACAGAAGTTCCAAAAAGTTGCCAAAGGTTCAAAAGAAACAGACTGTATACTTTTATGGTTTATCGAGTATTACCTTACAAAAAAAATATTATGTCTTCCTGAACATTTAAATAGATGAAACTGACAATACATTCTTGAAACTTCAAGTTTTGTATCCGTATAAGTTCATGTTAAGAGAACACAAGAATTAAGCCATATGTGAATCAATATTCTATAACCACGGAAATTTAGGGAAAAAAGATTAAGTACTTTCAGCAAATAAATTTATTTATGAGAAGTGAGAACTGTTAGTAAGCACTAGTTTGGTAAGTCATTCACCAAGAATGCATTATTTCCATTCAAAATATACCAAATCACACAATCTTGAATGTATGTTGTGTATATGAATAGCTAATACATAGAAATTGCAAATCAGTGAAAACTGTCAACTATGTTCAAACTTCACAAGCATATTGACAGTAAATTAATCCTTCCTGAAAAATAGATTTCCATTACACAGATATTCTTATATTTAGACATATACGCAAACACATGTTAATGCTCTTGAGATCATTCCAAAAAGATAAGCTAACAAACTATACATAAAAAAAAAGGACAATAAACAACCTTAACCATATTGCAACATATAATGGATGCCGATACAATCTCATTTGTGTTCTGTTTTTCATTTATGATTGTTTTCAAGCTCATCGCTGCAACAACCACAGGAGGAATCTTAGAAGTGATTTTTGAAGGAGCTGAACTCTTTATGTCTTTAGGAGAGTCAACGGTCACTTCAAATTTGCACCAGCTAACCTGTAAACGCAAACAAGTTGATAGGATTAAAACAAGGAGGCCTGTATATGAAATAAAGACAATGTCATATTACTTCTACTTGATACCCAACTTAAAAATATTACCCTTTGACTTGTAGAAAACTTTGAAACCTGTAACCATGAAGGCCCCTTTATCTTTCTTTTAATCAGGAAAAGCTCGAGCGCACTGCAGATTGTGATACAGTGAGTTCACCTTTTTTTCTAACAAAAAAATGTTTAATTTTTCACCTGGCATCTGTGGAGAAGAACATCCAGGTCAAATCCAGAAATATTATGTCCAACAAGAACATCACTATCCAACTTGTGTAATTCTAACATCAAGCGATTTAACAATGCTCTTTCACTGAAAACAAAAGTAATACATAGGTCAAGCCAAGAAGCAATCATAATTTCCAAGAAAAGTTTTAAAAAATTTAGACATCATATTTAAACTCAAAGAATAACATGCAGTCATGCAGATAAGCAAAACACTAGAACTAGCAAACCATCTTTCAATGTCTCACCTGCTTTCAGCACACAGAACATTTGAACCAGCTTTTAAGTTTTTGTCCGTAACCTCCTTATTGAATCCCATCGGAAATATATTCCCATCAAGTTTACGAATAACAGTAAAATGGGTCAGCCTTCCAGGCCTCTTCCACTCTGGTCAAATCCAGAAATATTATGTCCAACAAGAACATCACTATCCAACTTGTGTAATTCTAACATCAAGCGATTTAACAATGCTCTTTCACTGAAAACAAAAGTAATACATAGGTCAAGCCAAGAAGCAAATTATAAATCTGAAGAAAAAAAACTTAAAAATCAGAAGAAAAAAAATAGAAAACGAAAAAAAAAAAGGGCCTTTGAGAAATCGGTTACCCAGTAACCGATTTCTCACCTAAAAAATCAAATGGTATATTTACGTAAATATGTTTCACTTTGGGTCAATTAAAAAAAAAAAAAAAAAAACAGTATATTAAAAAAAAAAACTCTATCTTGGACAATGGACACTGACATAAAGCAGCCACTTATTTAATGTGTAACTGGTTTTCTTCATCAGATATTGTTAACTGTCATCATCATCGTCATAGTTAATGTCTAACAATCAAGTTACTGTGACCCAAAACCAGCAGGGGAGAAAACAAGATAATTTCCTACTTATTTGATAAGAAAAGCATTTTTTTTAATCCAAACAAAGGACTAGTAAATAATCCAATATTTTAATCTACTATTATTCTGCTCAGTCTTCAGACAGATCACAGATAGCATAAGATAAAATACTGGAAAAACGTACTGATGTGCAATTCTCATCCAAATTATCTCAGACTCTGAACACTTAACTAAATAAGTTGCATTAAATATGCGGTAAAAGTAATAATATGTTAGTTGGATCTCAGCGGTTTCGGGTTAGCCACGTGATCTAAGCACTTGACCAAAATCTGAAAATTGCAGATTTGTTAGGAAGCACTTCTTATAGTAACTGCTAATTATTGAGAATAGTGTCCACCTTCCCTTGGACATTGGTGGTTGATTTAATGGCAGCGGCACCGAAAAAGTAAAGGCACGGAAACCTCGTGACTTCGATTCGGTGGTTCCTGTGCTTTGCTTTTGAGGTGTGACCACAAATACACAATTGGGAATGAATTCTATTAGGTAAAATTTTCAACATCACCTGCTTCTTTGAAAAATTTATGTACATCTCTCTCTCTTTAAAAGTCTCATCAAAGTTTGAGTCGACCTACTAATTTAATATGTTCATGAAGAAATAAATACTGAATATTTACATGATATTTTTATGTGAAATTTCATTTTACTAGACAAATAAATAAAAATATATCTCATGTAAAATTTTCATATAAAATGATTAGTTCCATAGCCGAAAGATGCCTACAGTGCACAATCCATCAAATCCAAACACTGCAAAAAATTTAGATTGGCTTCAACGGCATTCAGATTCATCTTTGTTATATGTATTAGAGTTAATCATTTATATACTGCCAGTATAAAATTTTTTCACATTGACAACTAATCAGATTTGTTAATAGTGCCTTTTTTTTATTTTAATTTAATTAAATAAGCAAATAACATGACACTACTAACAGATCTGATTGGTTGTCAGTGTAAAAAAATTTTACACTGGTAGTGTATAGGTGATTAACTCTATGTATTATTACATTAGCTCGTTAAAAACTTTAATCACAATATTGTTTTCCCAAAAAGTTAAATCTTCATCGTATTTATTAAAAAAAAAAAAACACCAAAATAGTCCTCCAGTATTTGTTTGGTTAAGATGTAATAAAAATGACAGAAATGTGGATAAATGAATTAGGAAAGAAATTGGACTCATTTTAATTGCAATAGGAGGAAAAGAGACTTTACAAGAAAGGGGTCCATGGTACAAATTTCCCTTTCTCGTACGGCACAAGTCAACTACAGGAAGAGAGGTTGACCAGAAAAATAAAAAAAATAAAAATAAAAATAATAATAATAAATAAATAAATAACAGTTTAGGAAGGGAAGAGGGAGAAATATTTGTTTTGCCATTTCTCTGATTTTAGGGTCGAGCCTATGCCGTACATGGTCGCTTTTCATTATTTTCTAGTTTAGGTAAAATTGTCCATTAATATATATAATTTCCTTGTTTTTACTTTTAGATTTAAATAAATATCAGGAAAAAAAATTTAATATTTTTAATTTTAATCTATCCAAATTATTTTAGTGTATGTTTAGAAATTTTGTTGGTTTGGTGCTAAACATGAATCGGGAGAAGGAAACCCTTTATATATTTTGTATTTAACGTACTTTTGAAGTATTTGGAATATGCTTCTATGCATCCTGTTAACCAGTCATCAAATTATTCTCCCAAATGCTTAAAATATTACCATCTTTGCCACTGTAAAGGTAAAATAATATTATTTTGAAGGATTGAATTAAGAATTATTAAATTTTTATAAACTAATTTGTTGGCAAAATGTTTATAGGGATATAGTTATGACAAGGAAATTTTTAAAGACTAATATAATCACATAATTTTATAGAACTACATAATTCTCTCTTCTATTAATAAAGCTCAAGTATCTTAAATACACTTCGTTTTTTTATTGTGAAACGAAGTGATTTAATCTTAAAATGTCTACAAATTGTTTTCCACATAAATTTTAGTTGCATTTATTATGGTTTGGTGGGATTATGGATATGGTTATTAATTGTTCAGTGAGAGGAGGTCAACTGAAAAATATATTTTCCCTCTTTAGTTACATGGTAACTATCCTTTAAAAAATTTATACTATTAGATCTCGCTCATTACAAAGGCTTAGTTAGACAATAAAATTTCAGGATGAAGAAATCAGGCCAATTTAACCTTACCCAATATGCCTCTTAAATGTCAGCCCAAAAACTATTAAAACTTATTTGACCCAATAACATTTTATATAATTTTTTTATTTTCTTAATAAAACTTATTTGCCCCCTCAAATGGACCAATTTAACCACACCCAATGGATCAAGAAAGGTCAGACTCAATCTGCAACCCAACAGGAAATCGGGACAACCTCATCCTATTCGCACATTGACCCACGCAAGCCCGGGCTAAACGGCCCATTTTCCACCACTACTTTTAGGCTGATGATATACACACCTCCTTTTTTTTAATAAGTATACCTCCTTTATTTTATTTTTTAAATTTATAAAATATTGTAATTTTTTTTTTTAATTTTCTAATTTTACACCTCCAACTTTTAATTTGTTACTTTTTTCTTTTTTTTCACACATTTTTTTTTTGTTTTCACATACAGCCAAAATAGGTGTGATAAAAGAAAAGTAAGGGGATGTATATAAAAATTAAAAAAACGAGGAAAGATTTATAAAAAAAAAGTACTAAATTAAATATTGTAGATGTAAAATTAAAAATTAAAAATTAAAAAATTAAAAAAAATTAAGAATATTTTAAAAATTTAATTATTTAAAAAAAAAAAAAGAGGTGTAGTTATATAAAAAAAGGAGGTGTATATATCATGAACCCTACTTTTATAAGATCAATTTGGATCAAGAACGGCACTAGGCCCATTTTTTCCCGTACCCGGACTCAAAAGCTTTCAATTTCATAACCTTTCCCCTGTGAAGGTAAAGCAATGGAGTTCAACAATAAACACCCCGCATTTACGATAGTAGGTATGAAATCTCTCTTCTAGGTTAAAAAGGGTTTCAAATTATCATCCTATATTATAAGATTAAATAACCCTATTCTAGGTTAAATAGGGTTAAAAGTTCAATAACCTTATTCTTTTCGCTCCAAGGGATCTACGTTATAAGATTTAATTCAACAAAGCTGAACCTTGGTCTTAACATGTGAGGAATACGTACCTGATACCGAAATCCGTTACATTAAATTACTCATAATTCAATAATGTTAAATATACATTAGCAAATACGAAAATCAACTTCAGAAAGATTGCATACTGCGACTTCACAACTCAACCAAGACCGGTTTCCCTCGAACCATTTGGGAGCAATGAAAACCAATATATTCATATCCATATTATAAACAAATGGCACAAACTTCGTCAACCTTTCTACATGCATACAACATTCCATCAATGCCTTGATCTGTTTCTTATCCTGGAATGTCATTTTCTGAATCAGTCTTTCATGATTGAGAAAAGTTGCGGCATAAATTTCAAGTAATAGGCAAAAATGAAAAGTCGAAAACCAAAACAATTACCTGGGTGATCGAGAATAAGGAGAGCGAGAACGTGAGCGGGATCGGGTGCGAGAAGGCGACCGAGAACGAGAACTAGAATAATATCTTCTTGAACCTCTGCTTCTACTTGGACTTCTACTGCGCCTGTATCGTCTGCAATTATTCATATAATCTCAAAATTAGTAAACCATTTGCTGATAATAAAACAATTATTTTACTGATCGGTACTCATTCCACTAAACACCAATCTCAAGCCCATCAACACCTTCACATTATTACAGTAAGCTACACATATTACAAATCCCTTGACGCAATTCCCGTGCATCATGCACGCACGAGTGATGCAAAAGGCAGTTTTGATTAAAAAAAAAAAAAAACTTTAAGATGAGAAGGCAGTGTATTGGGCAGGAAAATTTGTTCCTAAATGCCAACATATGGAATCGACCTTGGACAAATTTAGTGTACATTAACACCGACAACAACACCTTTACCAGGATTTGATACTCCAAAATAATGACAGCAGAAAATCACTTAAAAATTAAATCCACTCAAGGGGGGAGCACGAAGGTACCACTCTTAAGTTTTAATGACAATTTTTGTATGCTGAACCATTTCATTAAATCAAAGGTTAGACTTTTTTATCATGTGAATCCATTAACAGCGCAAAAGCATCTAACTTGTGAAGCATGTGCTGAAATACCTTGGGGGAGAACGGCTGAAGCTTCTGCTGCGGCTGCGGCGTCTATACCGACTCAATCGACTAGTTTCTGCAAGCTTTTCCAGCCTCTGCCGTTCCTGTTCCCTTTTCTTGGCTTGTTCAGCAGCAGTATCCTTCTTAACTGCGAAGGGAAACAGTTACAGACAATATATATATACATCAGAAACTGAAACAA